TGTGTCTTCAAGTGCTGCACAATACCCTCAACTCTGAGTCTTTCTCTGTTATCTTGAGACTGGTCTTGACATCTGTCTTTCACAGGCTACCATTGCATGCCAATTTTTTCCCAGTTTGTAAGGTCCATCTTTGCTGAAGTCAATTTTTTCCCAGTTTGTAAGGTCCATCTTTGCTGAAGTCACATCTCTCTGGCAAGCATACATATTTACATTTTGACAAATGTCAACCTTCTTGTCCTCTTTCTATTCTCTAATTCTCTACTTTCTTTTTTTTCTTTTTTTTTTAAACGCCCCTATCAACACAATTAGGTTATTTAAGGGGCGGGACCTCCTAGTTTAACGTCCGTCTCCGATAGGACCGCTAATTCTCTACGGATATTTACTCACTCTACTTGGTTGGAGAATAGGCATCACTGGAGGCGGCACAATGCCATAGCTGCCCCTCCCTCCTCTCCAGGATCCATGAAAGGGTCTGCCTGCTGATCGTTCCAGTTAACAGCTGGTTGGATATTCTTCTGGCTTTTCCACGCAGGTTGCTGTCTCTCCCCGACCCTCTAGAAACACCAGCTTCCCTTTCTCTACAGATAAGTTCTTCCAGGACACTTTCATCCAAGAAATGAAAGTAACAAAAGTCAATTAAAACATTGAAAAAAAACCAAACAACAGAAAACTCCATCACAGCACCCACTATTCTCAAATGCTGGACAAGAAAAACACAAAATATAGACAAACAAGCAGAAAGAAACGCTCTATAAACCCTTCAGATAATTTTATTCACAAATCCATAAAAGCATGGTCCACACAGAGGGGTCATCACCCTCATTAGGTCTACAACACGCCAATCATTCTTTCATACTAGTTGCACTGATGGAATACTCTAGAAAAACACACAACAAAAACTACCCCAAAGGAATCTTATCAAAAAATAGCTCCACTGTCGAACTAGAATCTCTGTGAAACGGAAAACAAGACCTACAGTTTGTTTCTTCACTTAGCTGCCTGAAATCATACTTCAAGGCCAACAACAATAAACTTCATTCTGACGACAATCACAATTCTCCGCTACAAAGTCACTCATGTAGAAGTTGACATAAAAAAGGGATATGATCAGAAAGTAACAAACATAAAAAAGGCAATCTATCCACGGGCAGGAATGTAGCCGTGGAGAAAAATTTGAAAAAACTCCTGACTTTCCTTACAATCCATTTCCTTGACAGTAAGTAGCTGTTTATTGTAAGAAACATAAGCACCTCCATACAATGATGTTCTTTCAGTGATGGGAAACAGTCAGAAAGACAAACAGATGGAAAGAAGGGACTTGGGGCTTATCAGTGACACCTTCCAACCGCTCGGCAGTAAGTAGAAGAAGCAACTGTTCCCATCAATCACAGCAACAAGCACTTAGTTTTAGTAGAAGTTTTTCGGCGCTCGCAACTGCATAAGGTCATATGAGCACCAGAAGATTAGAGTTGTTACAAGAGAGTAACAAACATAAAAAAGAAGAAGGGGAGATAAGGGCGATAGATGTTTGACAGGAAAGAAGAAGCAAACCACACCAGAGCACCCGCCAACCACCCACCAACAAGCACTAAACCGTCACACATTCAACAAGCTCAACTATTCCACATTTCCAGAACAGAAGGAAATACAGTAAAGTAATGTTTGAACCCTTCACGTACATTTTTCAAAATAATTTGTTGTAAAGCATAAACAACGAGACAGAATATATGCATGTAAATCTTTTTTCTATCAGCAAAAATATTTGTATTTCAGATTCCTGTCTAGCAACAATTATGTTTTAAAGCATAAACATTGCGACAGAATATTGAAATTTATTCCATAACCAACAATGTTTGCATAACAAACTTCTGTCTCTAAGTTATCACAACATTCGGAGAGACTCATATTTTCTTTAGAAGACCCTTTGTAATAACTGATTATTACAAACACTATACAAAGCCTTTATGAAAAAAGAAAGGTACACATATTGTGAGGCTTAAATTTCTGAGAATGCTTCTATTTGTTGTTTTTTTTAAACATGATTTCTATGAAAGATTTGTTTCCCAAACATGATTTTTATAAAAGATTTGTTTCCCAAACATGATTTTTATGAAAGATTTGTTTCCCAAACATGATTTTCTCTGAGATTAACAACAGTACTCAACACATAAGAACAGGAGATTCAAAATATCACTGGAAATGCAACAATTCTCTACAACGCTAAGACTTCACAACACAGCTAACAGTTTGAAAAAATCCCTGACATTTCTATAACGAGCCAATACTGGAAATGCAACAATTCTCTACAACGCTAAGACTTCACAACACAGCTAACAGTTTGAAAAAATCCCTGACATTTCTATAACGAGACAATTCTGGAAGTGGACATGTTCTCGTTAGAGTAAGTTCACAACGTGATGCAATACATAACCAGATGGACCAGATGTAATGTTTGAAAGATCCAACAGCTGTAAAAATGCTGAAGTGTTTGACACTAGAAGCTCAATTCTAAGGACATTTCTCATACTCTGACCAGTACCCTTGATATGTGTAATCTTTTTTTTTCTCTGATCAGAAATTTATCAAAAGAAAGACGTGCACACACAGGCGCGCATGCACACACGCATATTATAATATATTATATATGGGCCACGACGTGCTGGAATCAGGCGTTTTGTCAATTTTTCAGCATATGGAGACAATATTATTATCTTAAAACTTGTTCATTTGTCTTGCATTGACTGAAAATAATACTGATATATCTTGAATTTGAATAGAAGTCGAGATATTTCCAGTTGAAAAGGTGGGGGTCACCTGTTTCGAGCCGAGAGGTGCAATTATCGAGAAAATGGCAGCCAAAGTTTGGTTATTTCCATAGCTTGAGAGTTTGTGGAAACTGAACATTTACATTTTCTGTGCCTTTAGTTAACGTTTTCTGGTAAAATCCACACAAAAATATATTCTTAAATGGAGATAGGTGTTCAGCCAAAAAACAAAAATTCGACAAAAATTGCCAAACCGCTCGAAAAATGTAGATATCCTTGATTTCATTATTTTGATGAGTGCCTGATTTCACCACGATGCCTCATATATTTATGCATAGATTTGTTACCGTTCAGTCATCCCAACACACAACTAATAAAACAAACAACCCGTCTTCCTCTTCCACGACTTCACCTTGACACTCAATACTGAAATATTTGCATCAGAATACTGTTTCCCTAAAAGAACCCCTCAGTGTTAAAATATTTGTAAATAGATAAAAAGAAGGAGATTGGAGCAGATTTAATACCGGGTAAATATATAAGTAGTCAGTGTCGCGCAGCAATAAATGATGGACCAACGATATAGGCAAACGTTTCTGTATGTTATTTAGGCTTGCGGGTTTTTTTTATTTCAAGGGAATGTGAACATTTAGAACTCAAGCGTTTTGCTTTATGGTACATCATCTTTACTTTAACTATTACTTTTCCCTTCCTCTTGTACCATTAGAAGTTGAGGGAAAGTACAATTTTTGGTCAAGGGCTAAGCAGGCGGCTTTTGTTGTAGATGTAGTGTTCTGTTGGTGGACCTCTTTGATGCCAACCAGCCAAGTTTTCGTGGTCTACCTCTTCCTTTGTCGCCTGATACTATTGTATGATATTATTATGTCAACTAAATTGTTAAAAAACAATCCTAACGAGGCCAGCGTGCATGCAACAATATCGGAACTATGAGAAAAGACTATGCCCGCACAACCAGTTTGTATTTGTTCCATTAACCCACACTCTGATGTCATAGACATTAAAAAAAGTTCACATAAAAAACATGAACATTCTTCACATCAATGATAAAACAAATAGAAACTGTGTTCCTATAGCATGCTAGCAAACATACTCTAACACACACACACACACACAATGCAAATACACACATTCACAAACAACAAGTAAATCGTAAATAACATTCACAAACAACTTAACAAGTAAATCGTAAATAGTCTCAAAAAGTGAGACATATGACGGAAATTCCAACCATACTGATCTCTACTGGCATGAGAAAGCTATTTCGACAAGCTTGGATATTGCAGGATCTGACTATCTAAATATCTATGCAGACATATTTCTTTACCCTGTGGACCCCAGTGCACCTAGCACTCACCTCAGCCTGGTGTAAATATAGCAGTCGACCCAACAAGGTCCGCGGCTCTCCTGACCTCTAAGGTTCAGGGGACCAGGGATCAAATGGTTTAAGAACGCAATGGGAACTCACTACTGATCGAAAAAAAAGTGCAATATGATGCCTCCTGTTCTGTTCATAGCAATATATACATGAGTGTCGCTGGTCTCATGAGACAAACACAGAAAAAAAATTGTTTTTAAAAACTATGTTTAATGAAGATATGTTTCAACAAAAAGATGTATAAGAACACTTGCTAAAAATGAAATATCATTTTGAAAAAAATATTCTGTGGTTAAATCCCACATTCTTGTGCATTTGAGTTATGATAATGAATATTTACTCTGTCTACATCTTCTTTGGCGACCAATTCTCATTTGGTACTTAGGGCTAGCGATTTAAGTTACATTCAGAAATGCTGCAAATAAAAGCTATCACCTCATAAGGGAAAGAAAACAACCATCAAATCATGAGATGTTCGCAACATCAGGGAAAACACGAGTCTAAATCAACAACACCACAACCTCTTCGAAGAACACATTGACCACCTCCAGTCCAAACAGTACTTTGGCCTTAATCATTGTTACCTCCATATATCTTTGGTAACCCATGGGACAAAGAATATTTGTGTCACGACGTGGTGGAATCAGGCGCTCGTCAATTGTTGGACATATTCAGTTATTGGTATCATCATACTTACTTACTTTAGTATCGTCATAAAGCTTGTTTATTTGTATTTCTTTTGATGATAAAAGTACCCATCTATTTTGAATAGAAGTCGAAATATTTACAATTGAAGGAGACGGAGGTTGCCTGGTTTCAGGGGTAAAATTAGCGAGAAAATGGCCTCCCAAAGTTTGGGGACTTCCATAGCTTGAGAGTCCTTGAAAAGTGAAAATATACATTTTCTGTGCCTTCAATCTACGATTTTCAGTAACATCAAAAATAGAAATGCGTTTTTCTGAACGGATATAAAAAGTGTTGAGCCAAAAATGTTTAATTTGATAACAATCGTGAAACCTGCGGGGAAAATACTGTTTTCTTCTACTTCACTATATAACGAACCCTTGATTTCACCACGATGCCGCACATTTATTCCACAGGGGGTCAAAGGTTAAATGCAAGCGAGGCTGCGTGGTAATAAGTAACAGCATTAGGAGAAAGTCTGCGTGAGTATGTCAGCCACTTCCTGTTTGTGCAGCTCCCCGATGCCCACAGCTGGGGTACCCAGCACGTCTCTGCCGGCATACTTGAGCTGAGGGGGGAAAGAGAAGACGTTTTTTGTTGTTGGTTTTTTTTCTTCCAAGAACTGTTTCATTTTAGTGGTTGTTTTTTGTGGTTATTGTTTTTTGTGGGGGTTTTTTTTCCTTTTTTTCGGGGGTTTAGGCGAAAGGAAGGATTTATCGGCTTATTATTAGTTTTTTTCAGATTGAAGAGTTAAATATTGATACAACACTAATAACAACACATTGTGGAAAGCAAAGTAGTTAAAATATAGCAAAAACAGAGCTGTTCACATATTTCAAAAACATGAAAATAGAAATCAACAAGACATGTGTCTTAAAGCTAACCTAGGCTTTTGGTGATGGGTCGGGTTGATGTTTTTTTTTCAAATTTCTACTGAGTTTTTCATGTTAAAAAAACACACACAAGGAAGAGCATCAAGACAGCTGTGGAAAAACGAGCAAACCAATGGGGTTGGGTGGGGGGCTTTTATGCTTTTGTTACTGTTTCAACCCCCCCCCCCCCAGTCTCAGACCACCTCTGAAACAAGTAAGAGCACTTACATGACAACCGACCAGGTTGTGGAAGCGTGGGGAGACAAAGGTCCAGGCCCCCATGTTCCTGTGCTCCTCCTGGCTCCACACAAACTCTGCCGACAAGAAATGAGACATGTCAAGACCTGCACATTTTTGTGTCAGTTCACAACCTCATCATCATCATCATTGCCTTTCTCAGCCTGCATCAGGGTATAGGCCACGGACAAACAAGTTCACAACCTCATCAGACACAAACAGATCTTTTTGAAGGCAAGCGATTTGGCCCAGAGGCATGAAAAAGAAAAGGGAAAGCAGAAATGATACACAAAAACTAAAGTAAATATCAAACATTTGCATCGAAATATAGACGGCCAAGCGTAGTGCCTTCCACTACATGATAGCTGCCTGAGCTTCTGTCTCCACAGAGGAGAAAGCTATACCACACACTTGTCTTGTCCCGGTACCGACAACTGTCCTTTTTGTCCTTTCCAAAATAATAATAATAATAAATAGCATTTGTATAGAGCATACATATCCCCACTCAACAGCAGGCTCTACGCGCTTTACACTATATTGCAACATAAGAAAGAGGAACTTTGTAGACTCTAGTCAAGGAGGAATCATTGGATGCCAGAACTTTTTTTTTTTTTATGGAGTGGTTTTTTTTTCACACGCCCATCAACACAGCTTTGATCATTTAAGAGGCAGGCTGCTTTGACCCTGAGAGAGGTACAAGGTCTAAGAGAAAAAACTGAGATGCTTCATGGCTTCATAAAATTTCCCCCCATGAGAATCAAACTCCGATTTTCTGTCCACGAAGGTGAAGTGCCTAACTGTTACACCGCACATACCTGCGATGACTCACTCACCTTTGGCATTTGAATATTTCGCCAGGATCTGCTGGAGCTCCTCCACAGGGAAAGGACACAGGCTCTGAGAACAGACACAAGATATTTTACTTTCAAACGGTCAATCAATCTAATAGAGTGACAATCTAAGTAATCTGTGACAATCTAAGTAATCTTTGAGAAGGATTTTCTTCGACATTGTTAATTTATATAATAGTGAGGAGGCAAAATCTGCAAACCAATGTAAAGAATACATTTAAATTCCAAAGTGCACATCATTCCAATAATTGGTAAATAATATTTGTTCTAAATTTTATTCAACATTGATACATTTTACAACTCTGTAGCGTCTTTAAAAAATCAGAAACACTGGGGGGGGGTTTTCATCATGTGAAAGCCTTTTCATTTCCCTGTATGCAACAGCTAAAACCAGTTCTTTATTTCCCAACATTTGACTGAGCTATGTCTAGTTCTGGTCAGGAACCAAGGAAAGCACAAATCTGAAAAAACGACATTTCAAGGGAGGCAATTATTTTCATTGGCATTTGTGAAAAAAAGATGCATAAAATGACGGACTAGTCAGATTCTGGAAATAGAAAAAATAAGGTGTCAAACCATTCAGAACAGAACAGGGCAGGTCTAAGCATATATAGTTTCTTAAAAGAAGGTACCATTTCATAATATAAACATTACAAAAGTTTGTTCGTTTTTTTTTTTCTAATTCGCACTCCTTTGAACTGGAGTCCAATGTGCAGGAAAACAAAATCATTTCTCAAGGTTCCCTTGTTGATCTCAAAGTTTCATTTCTCAAGGTTCCCTTGTTGATCTCAAAGTTTCATTTCTCAAGGTTCCCTTGTTGACCTCAGAGTTGTAGAGAGAGGCTGCCAGTGACAGTCAAGTGTTGAGAGGAAGCAAAACAAAAGCTGGGACTGTGCTCGTGGGAGAAAACTATCATTTTCATCATCATCAATGCCTTTCACCCCTGGCAGGGTATAGGCCACATACAAGCCCCTTCCATTTATCTCTTTCCTGAGCCATCCTTCCAAGCTAGTTCCAAGTGAGCTTCATTTCTCTCATGTCCCTTTCCACACATCTCCTCCATGTTTCCCGTGGCCTACCCCTGCCTCGTGCTCCTTGTGGGTTCCGCTGCAGTGACTGTTTTGAGATGTTTCCGCTGGGCTTTCTTAAGGTGTGTCCCATCCATCGCCCCTTTCTTAGTCCTATTTCTACTTCTAAATCCTTTTGTCCTGTCCTTTCCCACAGCTCTTCATTTCTTATTCTATCCTGCCACTTAATTCTTAGAAAACTATCATTTGCTTAACTCTTTATCTCCAGCAAGCTGCTCACATCAGCTCACGGTCAGAACAAATAAGCCAGTAAGCCCCTAGCAGAAGCTCGGGCACATTCCTTGAGGACGACAATGATGTCAAATTACTCTTTGGCAATTGCCTAATACAAGTCTCTTTTACCAGGAGTTCATTCATAAGATGAAAAACAATCAAAATAGGTTCACATGTTTTGACATAATGACCAAATTAGCGATGTATCTGTTACTTTTAGATTTCAGACCAAAAGAGGACCCCGACATAGTGGGTTTACTTCCTTTCGGAGATAAAGAGTTAATTGAGATTTAAGCCTACAGAGACCAGTTGGAACTCGGTGACGTAAAATAGATTCCCTTTTTGTTATTTTGAATAAGCAACTGTTGCAGGGGAGGACCACAGAAGGAGGAGATAAAGGCAGAAACCCCTTCAGTGACTTTGTAATGCTGAAACATTTTGGAAACTTCGTAAAATTTAACGTGACACAGTTACGTTTTCATAAAAAGCATCTCTCACCTCAAGGCGCACCAAAGCCATATTCTGAGCACCTCTCTTCTGCTTCTCCGCATTCAGCGCGTAATAATGCTTCCCTGAGCAGAAGACAACACGTGTTACAGATGCCGCCGCTGCGACTGAGTCGTCTAGCACAGGCTGGAAGTGTGTCCCGGGGGCCATGTCGGCGAGAGACGAGGTGGCGGCTGGCAGACGCAGGATCACTTTTGGTGCCACAACAACCAGAGGTTTGCGGAAGTTACGAATCATCTAAAAGTTGAAAATGAATAAAGTTGAAAGAATGAACAAGTGCATTTTAAAGAAATAAAAAACAGACTTTTAAAGTAAAAGAAGAAGCAAAGAGTTGTTAACAAGAACATTTTCTAATTCAGAATTGGATACGCTTCATTCATCCAACACACTTGACAAAATGGTTTGATGAAACTCACAATAACTTTTGGAAAAAAATGAACATACTAAAGACTTTATCTTTGTGGATCAACAAAAAAATGCCAGAACCTAAAAAATAACAAATACAAACTTGATTTAGAAGGAAAGCAATAAAGGACAAAGTTCAAACCAGCATAATAATAAACACCAATGGCATAGCACAAATTCCCGTCAACAACAAGCTCTATATGCTTTACAATCTATATTATTACACCAGCACACCTGACAGCATTCTGAAATAATCTCAACTTCCTGGGAAGCCTACGGTGCAAACTGCCATTTGACAGGTACTAAAACAATACCATACTAAAAAGGCCTCTCACTGCCTATGTCCAGGTAGCCATTCACATCTGGGTGAAGTGAGGAAAGTTCATGTAAAGTGCCTTTTCCAAGCTCACAATATCAGGCTACACTGAGCCTCAAACCCTCACACACGCAACCTCACAATTTTGAGTGTGGTAGCCTAACCACTGCCACACAGACACAACACTTAAGACATTAGTAATGCAAGCAAGCCATCAAAATTTTTACGTTGCAATGAAAATATGGCTATTAACCTAAAGCACAGGCTGTCGCAATAGTCATAACTTATCAAGACTATAAACACTATAATCAGCAAAATTAAACATCAGCCACAAATTCATATCCCAGCCCAATGCGACACATTTCCTACTAGTGCAGTAGGAAAGTGCTATTTTCCTTACACAACAGATTTCCCATCGTCCACACCGCGATCAAAAGAAATACAAGCAAAAATTAAGGTTAAAACCACACATCCTATCATATTACACTAAGATAAACCTTATCCTCCAGAAACCACTGTATCAACATCATCTCCAGACTAAATCATGGTTTATTCAAGACCATGTTTCCAGGACCAAAGCGAAGCTTTCTAGAAGTATGTTCCTGTAGAGGGTCGTACCTGTCTCCTCAATAGGTGAAAGTACTGGGCGGGCGTGGTGGGGTTGGCAATCTGAAAGTTGACGTCATCTCCGTCCACTTTGTCCTCCTTGCTGTCACAGATCTGAGACACATGAATAGTTTGTGCTTGAACAGCTTGGGAAATGATTTTGAGGAAATTTTGTTTATACATAATTCACACACTCACACATACACACACACAAACACATACACACACACACATACACACACACACACACACACAATGCATGTATGGAAGCATGCATGCATGCACACTCACAGACAAAAAGAAGTAAAGACAGACAAAAAAGACAAACAGACAGACAGAGAGACAGACAGACAAAATAAGCAGACAGACAGACAGACATTTACAAAGACAGACAGACATGTACCTGCAGGAATCTCTCCATGCGACAGGACGAGTGCTCCGGGCCCGCCCCATCCATCCCGTGAGGAAGCAACATGACCAGACTGGACTGTAGCAGCCACTTCACTGAGGGGACAACACAGCAACACAACTGACCCATTGTGTACACAGTCGATACTGTCTAAGACAGCCATCTATTGAACCATCTAAGACAGCCACCCATTGAACCATCTAAGACAGCCACTCATTGATCCATCTAAGACAGCCACTCATTGAACCATCTAAGACAGCCACCCATTGAACCATCTAAGACAGCCATCCATTGAACCATCTAAGACAGCCACTCATTGAACCATCTAAGACAGCCACTCATTGAACCATCTAAGACAACCATTGAACCATCTAAGACAGCCACCCATAGAACCATCTAAGACAGCCACCCATTGAACCATCTAAGACAGCCACCCATTGAACCATCTAAGACAGCCACTCATTGAACCATCTAAGACAGCCACCCATTGAACCATCTAAGACAGCCACTCATTGAACCATCTAAGACAGCCACTCATTGAACCATCTAAGACAACCATTGAACCATCTAAGACAGCCACCCATAGAACCATCTAAGACAGCCACCCATTGAACCATCTAAGACAGCCACCCATTGTCCAGGAGAAAAGTGGTTATCTCAGACAGGAGATCATCTTATACAGAGTCATTACAATATAAAGAAAAAGGCAGTTAAAGAGCCAACAAAGCCTTTTTTACAAACAATTTGCTAACAATGCTAAACATTTGAAATTCAAAAATTTTAATCTCTTCTATACTTCCTCTTTTCAAACTAAAAAGAAAAAATTGTAAAGTCAAAGACAGATCACGACCTCAGTGCTTTCTTGTCCTATCTCCTTTTTTTTTTTTATATAGTAGAGGGTTTTATGGCGCTCGCAACTGCATAAGGTCATATGAGCGCCAAGGGGTGGGTGTCAACAGAGAAGTGTTTACAGGCAATGAGACTTATTCTGCTCATCTCTCTAGCTTCAACAGCACAAGGTCTGCTCCGACTATCAAGGCACCCCAGAAATAGCAAGTCACAAGAGAGTGACAAACATACAAAAGAAGTAGAGGAAAATGACAATAGAAAGGATTAAGAAAGAAAAAGCAGCAGTTCCCTGTTGTAGATCAGGCACAGTTATGAGCGTGACATGAATCAGCCCATTTACAATTCTACTGTGCTTGAACGAGAAATGTCCCCTCTTTATCTCCATTTTTTTAGTTTAGTTTTAGTAGAGGTTTTATGGCTCTCGCAACTGCATAACGTCATATGAGCGCCAAGGGGTGGATGTCAACAGAGAAGTGTTTACAGGCAATCAGACTTATTCTGCTCATCTCTCTAGCTTCAACAGCACAAGGTCTGCTTCGACTATCAAGGCACCCCAGAAATAGCAAGTCACAAGAGATTGACAAACATACAAAAGAAGTAGAGGAAAATGACAATAGAAAGGATTAAGAAAGAAAAAGCAGCAGTTCCCTGTTGTAGATCAGGCACAGTTATGAGCGTGACATGAATCAGCCCATTTACAATTCTACTGTGCTTGAACGAGAAATGTCCCCTCTTTATCTCCATTTTTTTAGTTTAGTTTTAGTAGAGGTTTTATGGCTCTCGCAACTGCATAACGTCGAGCGCCAAGGGGTGGATGTCAACAGAGAAGTGTTTACAGGCAATGAGACTTATTCTGCTCATCTCTCTAGCTTCAACAGCACAAGGTCTGCTTCGACTATCAAGGCACCCCAGAAATAGCAAGTCACAAGAGATTGACAAACATACAAAAGAAGTAGAGGAAAATGACAATAGAAAGGATTAAGAAAGAAAAAGCAGCAGTTCCCTGTTGTAGATCAGGCACAGTTATGAGCGTGACATGAATCAGCCCATTTACAATTCTACTGTGCTTGAACGAGAAATGTCCCCTCTTTATCTCCATTTTTTTAGTTTAGTTTTAGTAGAGGTTTTATGGCTCTCGCAACTGCATAACGTCATGAGCGCCAAGGGGTGGATGTCAACAGAGAAGTGTTTACAGGCAATCAGACTTATTCTGCTCATCTCTCTTGCTTCAACAGCACAAAGTCTGCTTCAACTATCAAGGTACCCCGGAAATAGCGGGTCACAAGAGTGTTACAAACATACAAAAGAAGTAGAGGAAAAATGACAATAGTAAGGATTAGGAAAGAAAAAGCAGCATTTCCCTGTTGTAGATAAGGCACAGTTATGAGCGTGACAGTGACATATAATTCTACTGTGCATGAACGAGAAATGTTCCCCCTTTGGGAATGGCCTAAAGACACTTCAGTCAGTGGCACCGCCCCGGGGGGTGTCTCCATTTTAAATAACAGTGAAAACAGTTCATAACAAAGAGTGAGCGTCAGGAGAAGTCACATTTTCAATGTTAAAAAAAATGGAGATACGACAAGAAGGCACCGAGGTCGTGAGATCCTTACATTCCCCACTGGTGACAAACGTGTCGATGATTGTCTGCGCAGCGTTGAAGAAATCTCCGAACTGTGCCTCCCAGATGGCCAGAGTGGTGGGCTGGTCGATGCTGACCCCGTACTCAAAGCCCAGGACTCCTTCCTCTGACAGGACGCTGTTGGCCACCTGGGGGAACAAACAGGTTTGTATTTTTTCTTGTAAATGTCTTAAGTCTTAATTGTTATATTTTGTTTTGTTAGGTTTTTTCTTTTTTTGGGGGGGGGGGTTATTTTTTAAATTGAAAAAGGAAACCCCAGGAAGCTGTTAAGTCTTCTTTCTTGTAAATGTCGTAAGTCCCCATTATTTGTTTTGTTTTGGGTTGTTGTTGTTTGTTTGGGGGTTGTTGTTGTTTTTTTTTTGTGGGGGGGGGTCTTTTTTGGTCAATTTTTTTAATTGAAAAAGGAAACCCCAGAAAAAAGGTGTGCCTCCTGCCTTTTTTAGGTCACTGAAAAGGAAATAAAAGAGTCACATTCCAGCTGTTAAGTGAATTCATGGTGGGATCAACATTCAAGATGACCTATACGTGACTGGTTGGGTATCAACCTTCTTCTGACAGGACACTGTTGGCCACCTGAAGAACAGATAGGTTTTGTCTTCTTTCTTGTAAATGTTTGAAGTCCCCATCAACACAATATACATCACTTAGAGGGTGGGCAGTCTCAACCCTATATGTAGGGGCCAACCTGTGCTGAGTGGGGTACAGCACTCCATCAGACACACAGAGATATTTAATAGAATAGCTTTTCTATGAGAGAGTCGAACTCATGTCTTTTGTATGCAACAGCGACTACCCTTACTGTTACACTGATAAGAAAAGGCTGAGAATCAAAAAAGAGAACTTCAAAAAAGAGTCTGTGACTGCCGGAGTAAAAAGAGGAATTTTAGTAAAACAAAACATCTTGTTTTTGAAACTCAGTTGTGGATTGAAAAACTAGTTGAGAAATGCAGACGAGACAGAGGAGGAAGAAGAGGAGGCCAAGGAGGAGGAACAGGAGACGAGTAAATGAACTAGAGACATTCTGTGATTTTGACAAATCATTGTACATGTATTATTGAACAGGAATGTAATGAGTACATTTCTGTGTTGATGCTGAATGTTCATATCTCAATGTTCTGATATATCAACCCACATTCTCCCTCTTGGATCAACAAAGTTTATCTTATCTTATCTTTTCTTATCTCATCAAGCAGTTGAAGCAGAGGAGTTCAGGTGCACAGGTCCTGTAATCCCACGGTGCATGGATCAATGACTTGAGACTGCATACATTCAGTTAACTGTGAGGAAAATAACTACTGCAAACTACATCAGAGTCAGCATCTTTATAGTAGGCCAAAGGTCACCTCAAGGAAGGCTGTCTGTGACTCTGAGATGGAGTTGAGCGGGATGTAGATGTGGTCAGTCTCCTGGTCCACCAGCATGCAGTGACGATGGCTGAACGTCCCGCGGCCCACATCCTGACCGCTGATCCTCACATTGTAACCTGTAGCAAAAAGTTGTAAGCGTTACCACACTGTCAACACAGTTAACCTCTTCACTGCTGAGTAGACGTATATTCTGGCTTGTATTCTCCAATTATATTGTTTCTTCTGATTGACCTGGCACACCTTAGCATACAACTGATTTCCAGACCGAAGGGCTAGAACCCAAATGGCCGCTGGATCGGAAAAGTAAAGTCTGATTGACAAAAGAAGTTTTAGTTGGTATACTTTCAGCTTGTGATTTTGCTTATTCTGAAACAATTCTCTTGAGTTTAAATATTCCTTGAATTAACATTTTATCTTGTCGGTTTGTCGGTACAGATATTGATGGAAATTTTTCAGCAGTGAAGGGGTTAAGATTATTCCAACAAACCACAAGGGGTGGCAGTAAACTGGTAACTGAAAAGTACAAGGTTCAAATCCTGATACAAGTAACAGAACTCTCACAAGCTGCTGCAAGTTCTGGCACACTTGCACAGATCTGTTATAAGTTTATGAGATATTAGTTTTCCTAATAGTCTGTGAGCCGAGCTATGAGCAATGTGAAGTAAAGGTGTACACAGTTCCTCTTGTCTACTTATGCTATCTTTGTTGTGCTCTATGTAGTCAAATCTAATGGTAAGTAATGTTGTTGTTGTTGTTATCGATCCAGCAACAGCTGGGCTCTCGCCCTTCTGTCCAATGCCATGTAGTGAAAAGTGCAGGCTTTCTGCAGTTGCTGTAATGTTCCATAGAGTGCGTTGTCAATTTTAGGTCTCGGAAGGAGAAGGGTATATGGTAAGTAATAGATGTTAGTTATATTAAGTGAGTACATTTTGATACATGCAAAAAAATGGCATCAACATGTCGTGATAAACAATTCTAGGGTTAAGAAGCTTTTAAAACAAACCCCCCCCCCTCAAGAAAAAACCAAATTATTGTAATTCCCTTCACATTTTTCCCTTGTAGACAAGAAACAATTATTTGGTCCCCATAAAGAATCATTCAACATTCCAAGTCAAAAGAGAGTGCTATAGCCCTGCAGCCAACGAAAGACCTATCAGAGCAAACAAACCTTGATGTAACAAAGACCCAAACGCCAAAGCTTCAGCCGTTGCCCAGTCCAGATCTGTCCCCTGCACCATCTTGCCGAGTCTCCGGTCTATGTGAGTCTTCCGAATCGTTGGGTGCACATTCTGTGACCGTCCAAAAGAGTACGGATAGAGTGAAGGAAGACATGAAGATACAATCATTGTCATTTTGTGAAAAGAAAAAGTAAGACAGACAGAAATAACAGAGGGAAAGAAAAGAAGTAATAATAATAATAAATAGCATTTGTATAGCGCATATCCCAGCTGAACAGCAGGCTCTATGCGCTTTACACTACATTATTACCCCAGCAGACCATAGAACACTCTGAAACATTCTCAGCTTCCCGGGAAGCATACAGTGCAAACAGCTGATTAAGCGCTCAAACACTAACAAACAGACAAGATCTTTCCCTGTCTATAGACGGGTACCCATTCCCACCTGGGTGAAGTGAGGAAAATTCGTGTTAAGTGCCTTTCCCAAGGACACAACATTGGGCCCCTGACGGGATTCGAACCCACGACCTTACGGCTGCGAGTCCGAGAGCCTAACCACTAGGCCACCAACGCCACAATGACATGAAGATACAATCACTGTCATTTTGTGAAGGGAAAAAATAAGACAGACAGAAATAACAGAGAGAAAGAAAAGAAGTAGGACCCATCATCGGCAACCTCTAACCATCTGTGCCACCAAACAAAATTTATTTTAAAAATCAAGAGATCCATCCGTCAATTACCTGAAGCACCAGTAAAGAAACAGGGCACCTTTATTTCAGTCACTGACCATATCATGAGCAAACACATGACAAAACAGGAGAAAAAACAAAATGCTCCGTGTAACCTTCTCAGATCTTTGCAGGCAGGTCTAAAACTTGGATGACCAACAGAATCTAAAAGCTCATTTACGAAGGCCACTGCAGTCTAAGTTTTTTTAGTAAGAGTTTTACGGCACTAGCAACACAATAACGTCATAAAAGTGCTGAAGTATAGATGTGTTACCAGAGAGTAACATGCACAAAAAGAAGGAGGAGAGATCTACAAACTTACACTGAGGGAGTAACTGCGCTTTGGTAAATTAATAAATGAACTAGAACTTTATTTTTTTTTGTGTACAGACAAAAGTGAACACACTACGGACAAAGTGTGAAGTAAACTTTCTCACCAGGTCCTCGGGCACAGTGACTGATTTGGCCCCCACATACTTCAGAGTGTCCAGCGGGACGCCTGTGTCCCATCGCGTGATGACATCACCAGCCTGGCTCAAGCCTGACCACTGGCCCAGCAGGTGGAATGGCTGTGATAGAGGAGAGAAAGAAGGAGGGGAAAATGAGGACTGAAAGAAAAAAAAGAGAACTGAAGCAATCTTCTTCTTCTTCTTCTTCCTCGTTCTCGATGACAGCAGCTAGACAGTCAGTCCGATGTCGCGTACAAACTGTGTAGTTCGCTTTAACTCTGAAACACTGCCATAGAGCTTTCTCTCAAGGGGAGCCACATTCTGCCACGTCTGTGTGCCAAGGGTGGCGTAGCGCGGGCAGTGCTGAAGGACATGGTTGGCGTCCTCTTGGTCGTGTCCACATTCACAGGTCGCTGTTTCTCCCACTTTTAATGTGGTGTGCATATTATGGTGTTTGAGTCTGTTGTGGCCACAATGGAGTCTAAAGATTGTGACCTGGTCAGCTCTATTTAGTATGTAGTAGGGAACTGAAGCAATAGAGTCTGAGTAGCTGTAACTGCTCAAAATATATAAAGATTCAAGTAAACAAAAATGTAACACAAAGAATGACAAGAACAACATCACCACAGAATACGACAACAACAATCAACAACAACAACAGCACGGAATACAAATGCAACATTGCTGAAAAGAAGTATAAGGATCAGACCACACTAACACACTTGTCAACCAGCAGTCAACATTGAGGGACAGCAGGACATCATGAGAAGTACAATATCAAAATTATAATTCAAATAGACTGAAGGCAGCACACAGAGAGGAGAAGAGGTTTTTTGTTTAACTTTATAGCAATAAAGTTTGAATACCAGTAACACCATCTAATTAACAAATAAACAATTTTCAAATTTAAAATGAGTACCCTGTTGCTACGAAGAAGTACAATGGCTAGGACTAGTTTCAATCAAATGAGCCCAATCCTGAAAATAGAAACATCTCAATGAACACTAAAATGAAAGTCCTGAAATGCTATGTTTGGTCAACCCTTCTATATGGCTGTGAATGCTGAACAATCACAAAAGACTGTGAAAATAAAATAGAAGCAACAGAAATGTGGTTTCTTAGGAGACTGCTAAGAGTATCGTGGAAGGAAAAGAAATCAAATGAGGTAGTGCTTGATGAAACCCACCTGGGACGCTCAATGTTAAAAACAATCAGGAAACGACAAATGCAGTTTTTGGGACACCTGAATAGACATAAGGGTCTTGAACATCTAGCTCTCACTGGCAAAATTGAGGGCAAGCGAGGCAGGGTAGGCCCAGAACAACATACTTAGGGAACCTAAACAAATGGGTAACAGGGAAAGATCAGGGAAACATAGCTTTTTTGAGAGCATCCGAGCAAAGGAATGAATGGAAAACCATGATCACCGATGTCTGTCGCAGATCTGGCAATGGATGATGATGATGATGATGATGTTGCTATAGAAAAAAAGGTGAAAAAAATCACAAAATAAAGTTTGGACCAAAAGTCTCCCATTCCGCGTTTATTTAGATACTGTATGTTCTTGGAACTTTGAGACCACACCCTGAGCACTCTTCATTTCTTTTTGGAAAGGAACACTTTTGGGTCCGAGAGAAACCCGTTTCTGTTTGGACCCAGTTGGACTAAGCACAAGAAGAGACATCACCTTGTTGACGTAGGAGTCCACTTGGTTGAAATTGTCCGTGAGGTTAGAGGTCCATTGCTGAACATTTTCGCTCAGTTCAGTTTGATCACAAAGACCCGATGCCTACGTGGAGAGAAAAAACCAAAAAATGGGGGACGGGGAGGGGGTGGGGGACGGGATTACAGAAAAAGAAATTCAGAACAAGAAAAGAAATTCAGAACAAGAGCAAAAAGTGCTTTAAAAAATTGAGCACTCCCTCTTAGACGGCAACTAATCGAGAAGTGGAATGAACGAAATAATAATAATAATAATAACAATGATAATAATAATGACAATAATAAAAATAACAAAAACAATAATAGTAATAATAATAACTATTATAATAATAATAAAAATAATAATAACAAATAGCATTTATAGAGCGCAAATTCCTGCTCAACAGCAAGTTCAATACACTTTTTAATCCATATATAACTCCACAGGAGCAGATAGCTTTTTAGAACAATCTCAACATCCTTGGAAGCAAGCAGAGCAAGCTGCCATTTTACAGGAACTAAAACATTCACAGGCAGAGAAAATCTTTCGCCGTTTATAGCCAGGTACCCATTTACACTTGAATGAAGTGAAGAAAATGTGTGTATGTGTGTGTATGAGTGTGAGTTTGTGTGTGTGTGTGTGTGTGTGTGTGTGTGTGTGTGTGTGTGTGTGTGTGTGTGTGTATGAGTGAGCGTGTATGTGTGTTTGTGTGTGTGAGTGTGTGTGTGTTAGTGTTATTTTTTTTTTGTAGAGGTTTTACGGCGCTCGCTACTGCATAAGGTCATACGAGCGCCAGAAGATTCAGAAAGTCTGGCCTCCCAGTGTGAAAACTTACACAGAGTCTGGCCTCCCAGTGTGAAAACTTACACAGAGTCTGGCCTCCCAGTGTGAAAACTTACACAAAGTCTGGCCTCCCAGGGTGAAAACTTACACAAAGAAGTCTGGTATCCCAGTGTGACAACTTTCACAAAGAAGAAGCCAGTAACTCACCACGACTTCCTGGGAGTACAGGTCGGGCACGCTGGAGCGGCTGTTGATCACTTTGTACATGACGGGCTGCGTGAAGGCCGGCTCATCCATCTCATTGTGACCCCAGCGACGGAAACAAACTAGGTCAATGATCACGTCGCGGCGGAACTTCTGCCTGTACTCCATCGCTAGCGACGTCGCACGAACAACATCCTGTAGGAAAAAACAGCGGTTTTTTTTTCTCCGAGTTACAGATGGCACTGAATATGGTTGTAGAAGAGGCGAAAGGGGAAGTGGAGGGGATAGGGGTGGGGGAGGGGGGGTGGGGGGTAGGGTGGAGCTCAAATTTATTTCTAGCTGTTGTATATCAAACAAAAGTGACCTATGACTGAGACACCAAACAAAAGCGACCTATGACTGAGACACCATCTAATCACGAGGAAAGACAAAGCTTATCTGCTGGCCAAAGCTCACCTCAGGGTGGTCTCCATTGACGTGTAGGACAGGGTAACCGCTCACTTTGGCAATGTCGCTGCAGTAATGAGAGGACCTGTGGCACAGATAGACAGGGTATAAGAGAAAAGTGTATTTCTTAAATGTGTCACGACGCAGTGGAATCAGGCTCTCGTCAATTTTTGGGCGTGTAGAGTTATAGGCATCATTCCAAAGCTTGTTCATTTGTTTTGCTTTTGATGATAAAAGTATCCGTTTATCTTGAATACAAGTCGAGATATTTGCGAATGAAGGAAGTGGGGGTCACCTGTTTTCAGAGGTAATATTAGTGAGAAAATGACCGCCAAAGATTAGTTATTTCCTTAGCTTGAGAGTCCGTGGAAACTGAAAATTTACATTTTTTGTGCTTTTATTCAACATTTTTCAGTAAAATCCACACAGAAATGTGTTCTTCAAAGGGCATGAAAGGTGTTGAGCCAAAAATTGAAAATTCTATAAAAATCCACAAACCTGTGGAAAATGCCAGTTTCTCCACTTCGATTATTTTGACAAGCGCCTGATTTCACCTCGCTGTCTCACAAATACAATAGAACCTGCTTTCACGACCAGCGGTCAAGACAAGCACCTGTTCAAACAACCACTTCCCACTCCCACCCCTTGTATTTCTTTTCTCCATAAGACACCACTGTTCGAAAGGACCACCTGTCTAAGAAGACCACTATTTTCCTCAACATCTCACGACCTCAGTGCTTTCTGGTCCTATCTCCCTTTTTTATAACAGTGAAAAGAGTTCATAACAACGAATGAGCTTAAGAAGAAGTCACAATTTCAATGTTTAAAGAAAATGGAGATAGGACAAGAAAGCACTGAGGTGCGAACTGGTGGCCATCTTGGACAGGTTAGAGTGCAGATCCTTCACTGGATTAAAATGAATGGTTTTACTAGCTTTTGTTGAGCAAAATAGAAATGTGTAACACTACATCAACACGACAACATAAACATGAACAAGTATATATATATACACACACACCCTTACATACTGCTTGGTAAGATTTTTACAGCAATTGCAACACAATTAAGTCCTATAAGTAGCTAAGACTAGAAGTGTTTCAAGAGAATAATAAACACAAAAAAAGGAGGAGAGATAAGGATGATTGATATACAACACTGACACGCACACATATCCAAATGGTCTCCCTGCCTCTCTCTCTCCTTTGCTCTTTCTCTCCCTCCCCCCTCTCCCTTTCCCTCTCTCTCTCTCTCTCTCTCTCTCTCTCTCTCTCTCTCTCTCTCTCTCTCTCTCTCTCCCTCCCTCTCTCCCTCCCTCTCTCTCTCTCTCTCTCTCTCTCTCTCCCTCTCCCTCTCTCTCTCTCTTGCGTTCAGATGCAGATGACTTCTATAAAGTCACTAAAAAGAGAAACCTCACTTCAAATTCATTAAATTTTCAGTGATAGAGAAACATGGACGATGTCCAACCTGAACCACTCAGTCCTGTAACACCCTGGAGAACTGCCTCCCTGACCTACCTTCCCCGTTCTGACTCCGTCGTGAAGCCGACCTGGTTGTTGATGATGAGATGCACACTGCCGCCGATGTCAAAGTGAGGCGTGTCCGCGAAGCAGAACGTCTCAGCCACCACTCCCTGATCAGAGGAAGAAGAATTATTGTGTTACGTCGCGGTGGAAGCAGGCGCTCGTCAGTTTTTGCACATCTGGAGTTATTGGTATCACCTCAAAGCTTGTTCTTTTGACTATGTCTCTATGAAAATAATACACATCTATCTTAAATAGAAGTTGAGAGATCTGCGATTGAAAGAGGTCCGGGACGCCTGGTTTTAGAGGTAAAATTAGTGAGAAAAGGCCGTCAGAGTTTGTTGATTTCCAAAACTTGAGAATCCTTGGAAACTGAAAATTTACATTAACGTTTTTCAGTAAAATCGACATAGTAATATTTTTTTAATGGACATAAAAGGTGCTGAGCCAAAAAACAAAAATTATTTCTTAGATTGTCAAACTGGAAGGAAAATGCCGATATCTTCGACTTCATTATTTTGACAAGCGCCTGATTTCACCACAACGCCTCACATTTGTCAAAAACATGATATCATCTCTCTGTTTCTACTGCCACTATAAATGGTCTGAGCTCAACACGATACTCCCACAGCTGCTTATATCTGTCGATCTTGCTTTCTCTCTACAATAAACGACCATTATTTACTATGTCAGTGTGTCAATGAACATCTCTTTACTAAAACTAAATGTTGGACGTTCATGCACGTGTATTTTACATAAGGTGCAGGTATTACATAGCGCCTAGAGCTGTATTGTACGAGAGTGTGTGCAACAGATATTATCTGTATTATTATTATCATTGTTATTATTATCCAACAAATGATGAACAAAGAACACATAGCACACAATACAACAAATCTGTTTATACAACGATCGGTCCGTCTACAAAATTTCGTCAATTTTGACCAATAGGTGTGTGTTTGTGTGTGTGTGTTGTTGTTTTTGGGTTTTTTTGTATGTGTATGTATGTGTGTGTGTGTGTGTGTGTGCGCGTGTGTGTGAGTGTGACCAGTGACTCACCTGCCCCACAAAACTGGCATCTCCGTGCACCTGCAGACACAGAACTCCGTCCCCTGGCTTTCCCTCTGTGCTGTCGCTGTAGTCACCCCAACGGTTGCTCTGCAGCTTTGACCTCGCCTTCCCGACCGCAACAGGGTTGGCAGCCTGAGAAAAAAAATAATAATTAAAAATCAATAAAACGTTTTCTTCATAAATATTGCAATAAAAGATTTTTTCAAATAAATATTTTTAACAGGGCTCACAACCAAACGACAAAAGAGTTAATGAAACTATGTTTTGTTTTCGTACGAGTTTTGTGGCATTTGCAACACAATAAGGCCATATAAGTGCCGAAGATTAGGGGTGTTACAAGAGAGTAACAAACACAAAAAAGGAGGAGGGGAGATAAAGACGACAGATGTTTGATAGGAAAGAAGAAGCAAACCACACCAGAGCACCCGCCAACCACCCACTTAATGAAACTAGAGCAAAGAACATAGGAGTAAGGTTTAGACTACACCAAATTTGGCACACCTTCCTCCCTGCAATGTGTGCACTAAAAAATGTAGAATACAATAAAAAGTCACCAACAGTCACAATGAAACTGAAACTTGCATGGCGACAGGCAGAATAAACCGTACGTTTTCTATAGACAGAATAACTCTCTCTCTCTCTCTTTCTCTCTCTCTCTCTCCCTCTCTCTCTCTCTCTCTCTCTCTCTCTTTCACTCTCACTCTCCCTCTCTCTCTCTCTCTCTCTCTCTCTCACACACACACACACTCACTATTCTCTAGTCTCACTGTAAGGCATTTTCCATCAGTACCAAGGGGTAATACTGTTCCTTTCCAGTTACCAAGTAGTTAAATAGAAATGTCAAAAAGTTTGTTACAAGTTCTAACATTTCCAAGTTTAGATAAATAGAAAGCACGCTTGGCCGTGGTGATCCTGATCATTTTAGCGACAAAATTCTTCATAAATATAAATTTCCTTTATGCACACCAAGTCGTGTTATTCTCCCATTTTCTTTTTCTTCGTATTTTTTATTTCTTTTTTATCGCATCATGATTTCTTGGTTGAACCACTTTCCACTAGGAAAATGAAATAACTTTCTTTATTTTACAGGCGTATGTTCATCCAAAGTATTCTCCATAATGGTGTTGAGGGTTTCTCTATATATAGGGGAACTCGTAGCTCTAGAATCACAAATATCTCATTGAACCAGGGGTAAATTGATATCTTTCAGGTTTCAAGTATGAACTGTTTATATTGCTTTCCTTGTTCTTTTGAAGTCCAACTCAACGATGGGGAGAAAATGATCCGAAATATCTTTATTTTATCCAGAACGTTTTAATATTTCACTGTTATTCTCAACAAAGGAAATGACCCCATCCCAATGTGTTGATATTTATGTGTTGGTACTTGAACGAGTTGCTTTAAATCCTTTTCTGTCAGCAGGTAGACTATATCTTTAGTGACAGAGTTCACAGAGCCAAGGCGAAAATTAAAATCACCAGTTATGATGAACGGTGCGTTTTTCATCTTTGAAATTAAATTTAGAAATTCCTCCATAAAAGTGGACAGGTTAATACAAACTTAAATGAAACTTAAAACAAAAAAAAATGGGCATTTGAATACCAAAGCCCCAAGATCTGGAATGCTTTACCAAGTACGTTGAGAGAAATCAAATCTTTTGATTCATTCAAATGTCAGCTGAAGTCGTTTCTGTTTTTAAATTAATAAGATGAATATTTGGTATAATTTTCTTTAGTCAGAACAGAACGTTTCATGTTACTGTTGTATGTTGTACTGTATTGCAAAGCGCTCAGAGCCTGTGTACTTTATTCGGGGTTGAGCGCTATATAAATGTCATTTATTATTATTATTACAATACACTTTACTCGCGGTGGTGACCTGTATATGCAGCAGACAGTAATTCTTTGGGGCTGCAGCAGGAATGATAGTAAAGCAGCCTCACTCACATAGGCAGTATCAAAAGGAAAAAGAAAATTCCGAAGACTAAATCAAAGACATTATTTCACAGCAACTGCTTGACCGTTCTCTACAATCCTTCACATTACAAAATCAAAATACAGTAAAAATATTTCCGAATTCCAGTTCTTCTATATAGGCATCTTTAAATCAGAAAATCAATTTTTTTTAAACAATACATCATTAGCAGAACTTACCTCGAGGTGAGATGGATTGGGGATAAAAGACACATGAACTGGCTTCCCATCTCGGGTCACGTCTACAGATGTGTCTGCAATCATTAACATTATTTAACTACAATTATTATTCTGAATTTCTCAAATAAATGACTTTCAAAACAAACAAAAACAACACAACCATTGCCCGTAAGAGCCAACGATAATTTACAACTTGCTTACTGGTATCTGCTCATTTAGATGAAATTTTCTAGTTGTTTTTTTTCCCCACTGGCTTACATTAATGTACCGGGTAGTGTTTCTCTGGAACAGCAAACAAATAGTTCAGCTGAGACTAAACAAAGACATTTTTGACAAGCACCTAGAAACTAAAACATTACATTCAAAGTCTTCAGCTTGATAACATGTGTTTCTTCTTTATTTGTTTGTTGTTGTTGTTTCGTTTCTTGTTTTTTGTTGTTTTTTTAATTAACAACTCTCGGTTCTGTCTGAGAAAATAGTCATCACAACAAAATGATTTTTCAAAATAGATAAAGTTATAAACACATCGAAATCTACTCAGTTTTATTTTTAATCAAGATAGTACAAATGGTGAGAGTAAATGTCCTCCTATAAACGGGAACAGCACACCACCAAAGTCTCAGATACTCCTATCCAACCCACCCTACAACAAATAATAATTTTGTCTTTTAAAAAAAATTATAAGAAACAATTGATGGCTAGGTGCAAGACTCCCACAAACACCAAATACCATTACAGCATCTGCCGAAGTCTTGCACCCAGTCACCGACATAGATATTTTATCTAACCCATATAGAATGTGATGTAAAAACCAAAAATTCTTACATAAATGAGACAGCACGTCCCCGACCCCTCTGGCACCTGCAGGTAATTCTGACAGTCCTTGCATCTAGGGAAAAAAGGCACATTTTTTAAAAAAATCTTAACCCAAGAAAACAAAACAAAGAATAAAAATTTACCTTATATGCACATTTGTTATGTAATCGACAGGCCCCAACTGAAAAAGTATGGACTTGTTCAATGACTTAGTTGTTCAAAAAGACCTTTATCTCACATACAAACCACAGCGCACTGTAGAACTCTATACTATAACTGTTAATATTTTACACCCTCGTCGACACAATGATGGTCGACTCCTTCATCCCTGCATGTAAATGGTCTAGTGGTTAGGCTCTCGGACTCGCAACCATAATGTAGTGGGTTTGAATCCCGCCAGCGACCCGACGTTGTGTCCTTGAGAAAGGCACTTCCCATGAATTTTCCTCACTTCTCACTTCACCCATGTGACAATAGGTACCCAGCTATAGACAGCGAAAGATCTTTCTGTTTGTCAGTGTTTGAGGGCTTAATCGGCTGCTTGCACTGTATGCTTCCTGGGAAGCCGAGAATGTTCCTGAGTGTTCTATGTTCTGCTGGGGTAATAATATCGTGTAAAGCGCATAGAGCCTGCTGTCGAGAGGGGGTATTCGCTAAACAAATGCTTTTTACTATTGTTACTATTATCATTATCATCCCAGCATATCAGTGCCAACCTGGGGTGGATGGGATACGAGGTTGCAGCACACACACAGAGACACTCAATAAAGATACCTATTCATTTGGCAATAAAACTGATGTCTTCTTCAGCATGTGGCAGCGAAGAGCCTAACTGTAACATTACAGACTCCCGTACTGTATATCGGTGGCCGGCTGTGACAGATGACCACCAGTCACAACAGCAACATGGGGTCAATTTAGAGAACATCTGTTGCTGTAGTCTTTTAATTCTGAACAGGAAAATACTGACATTGCACTGTCACCAGCTGCTGCAACACAATATATGCAAATATACACATCATTGATATGCATCCTTCTGTCCAGGTGAAGATTTGAGTGTTGTTACTCTGCACCTCAGGAATGTCATAAACAACAATGAAGTTTTATGTGTACGTGATATAACACCGCAGGGGACAAATGCTCACAGGTAGCAAAGCCGGGACATGATCTCATCTTGGAGGTTTTCAGTCTACAGGGAGCAAAATTAACTGCTGAGGAACAGCCACGCATGATAACCTGCTTAATTAGGAACGGTTATCAACAAAGAGTTTCTTACCTTTCATCATCATCATTGCCTTTCTCACCCAGCACCAGGGTATAGGCCACGGACAAACACCCCCCACTTTTCTCTATCCTGGGCTAGCCTCTTGATGTTATTCCATGTCTTTCCACTTTTCTGTACATCGATTTCTGTGATTCTTCTCCAAGTTCCACGACATCTTCCCCTTGATCTCTTGCCCTGTGGGTTCCAATCCAAAACTTTCTTTGTTATGCAGCTGCCTGACTTCCTGAGAGTATGTCCAATCCATCGCCTCGCCTTCTTCCTACCTCATCTCTGACTGGGATCTGTCTTGTTTTCCTTAACACTTCCACATTGGTGACCCTGTCTGTCCATCTGATCCTCAGTAACTTTCTTAGACACCTGTTCAAGAAAACCTGGATCCTCTTTATACAAGTCTGCGATGCGTTCCATGCCTCACATCCATACAACAGGACCGACTTCACGTTTGAATTGAAAATCCTCAGCTTTGTTCGAAGTGAGATCTCTCTGGTCTTCCAAATCCTATCCAAAGATATGAAAGCAGCCTGTGCTTTACCAATGCGGGACTTTATTTCAGCACCTGTTCCTCCCTCTCTGTCAATTATGCTCCCAAGATAACAGAAGGATTCAACGTTTTCTAGGGCCTTTCCTTTTATTGTGACCTGCTCCTTTCGTTGTGCATCTGTCCTTAGTACCTTTGACTTTCCAGGGTGGATCCTCAATCCAACAGACTCCGATAGGCTGTTTAATACTGAAGTCTTTGCTTGTATCTGTTCCTGGGTGTGCGACAGAAGCGCCAAGTCGTCTGCGAAATCCAGATCGTCCAACTGTGTTTCTTACCTTTACAATATCATTATTTTCAAACTTCTTTGTGAGAACTCAAGCACAGCTCGGCCCTCAAAGCTGTCTGTATGACTCTCCCTATGAGACACAGACCACCATGCTGAGCCACAACATAACATCCGATGATATATTATGTAAATGACTATGTATCTCATTATGTATTTTGCACTGACTTATGAATTGTATTGTGTATGTTACATTATTTATTTGTATGTGCTCACTTCATAATGAGGTGTATGCATTTGTGTGTGATGAGAGAGGTATATGTGTGTGTGTGTGTGTTTGTGTGTGTGTGTGTGTGTGCGTGCATGTGTGTGTGTGTGTGTGTGCATGTGTGTGCGAGCGTGTGTGTGTGTGTCTGTGTGTGTAGATGGGTGGAGGGGGGGGGGGGGGGGGGAGAGAGTGCATATTTGTGTATGTGTGTGTTTGTGAGAGAGAGACTGTAATTGAGTGTGCGAGTGTGTCTGTGTGTGAATGAGCAAAGATCAATTTTTCCTCAAAAACATATACTGTATTGTTCATTTACAAATTTGTACTTGCATTTATGTAAAGCACGTGGAGTTGTCTTCACACTGGAGAAGGCACTATAAGATTGATCCACATTATTACTGTCATTATCAGCAATCTTTTCTCTAAGCCCTCAGAGACAAGACACTCATAGCACACATGATAGGACAATACAGACATTACAGAAATACCTGTTCTGACCGCTACATGACATTATCGCAAAGGTCCTTATAGTGCAGGATAAAAAGTAGCATTAACAACAATTATTTTTTTTAAAGGAATGTTTCAACTTTGTTTGAGTAAAGAAAAGCACATTGAAATAACGGCCATTTAGTAGAAAGAAAAGGCAAGACAGACATACAGCAACAGCAGAGGGAAACAAACAAAGAAGGACCATATGATGGTGCCCTCAAAACAACTGCCATTTCAGTTTCAAAGAGCAACAAATCCCACAACAAAAAGCATCTCTACAAACTGATTCAAAGTTCAACACACTCTATGGAACATTACAGCAACTGCAGCAAACCTGCACTTATCACTACATGGCATTGGACAGAAGGGCGAGAGCCCAGCTGTTGCTGGATCGATAACAACAACAACAACAACATTCAAAGTCCAAACTTTCCAGACCGGAGACACAGCCAACGAGAGACGTACCTTTCTAAACATAATCACCGGGGGGAAATCCAGCAGACAAGTCATGAAGTTCAGTCTACCTCTGTGCGCCATGCCAACAATTACATTTTTCACATCATCTGAAACAGTGAGATTAAAGTAAAATTTTAATTCATAGCAGACTTTTCTATTCCTCTGAACATTCCAGATCCCCAGAGTGCACTGTATTTTTGCCTTCTCATCTGGCTTTACAAAGAGTCACCACTCACCATAAGCTCTCGATCTACCTGTGAAGCCATCAGTCTCCACATTATAGGAATGATCTACATCCCAATTGACATAATCTACATAATTTAGAAAGTCGGCTACTCGGACTCTTTTTGCAATTACAGTCCCTTGACTTTTTAAAGATGTACGGTATTTGGTTTCTTTGTAAATCTAAAAAACAACACATTCCAACACTGATCTAAATTATGTCAATATGTAATCAGACACTGAAAATGAATACACACTTACGTTGAGCACATTTGCTGAAGATTTCGTCAAAGCTGGCCATCATGCTCTCTCCTCCTTCCCCTCCGTATCGTTTGACAGAAGAGAATTTTGTGGCAACATAGTGGTCAAAAGCCTGCAGAGACAGTAGGTACGTCAACTAGAGAAGCAACTAAAGAATAAAGGACTAGACAATGCAGGGATTTACGTAACTTAGTAACTCTAAGCCTACAAAAAGAATGTAAAATATCCTCGGGGTAGTTCTTTCCCAAAGAAATGCAGTCAAAAAAACCCCTAGAACATCTCATGACATAAAAATATAGCATCCACCTAGATGACGCCTCACATCACAGACTGGGTAAGAAAGTCAAAAAAAAGACTTTTGAAAAGTTATTGGAAGTTTTGACCTTTCTTGAGCAAAAAATACTCAGTAAATTTACAAACTTACTGAACATTTGGAATTCACACATTTGCTTAGAGGGGAATCCTACAAGCTGTACCCATCTAATATCACCTACTTACCTTCCTGAAAGTCATCCAACATTGTGTATTTGTTCATAATGATGCAAAATCACATTATACATAAATCTGCTGCTTCACCTTCACGCAGCAATAAAGATAGTAAAATTGATGAACACTTAGAAAGACATAAAGCAGAAGATGTTGGCCCAAATGACAACTGTTTGAGTTTCAGTTAGGAAAAAAGCACATCGACACAATAACGGTCATATCATTAAGGGAAAAAGCAAGACAGATAGACAGGAATAACAGAGAGGAAAAAAAGAAGTAGGACCTCCCAGTGGCACCCTCAACCCATCCATGAAACAACAAGTGTCAAAGAAACAATTAATAGCTCAAAGGCACTTATAGATGATATACGACAATGCCACAAGGAACACAAGAACCAACTGAACATGGCTATTATTCCTACCTGGCATCGTAACAACAGTTTTGCAAGTTCCACTTTCCTTGAATTGGGTATTTCTGTCTCATTTCTTCCCTCAAACTGTTGCGCAAACCACACACGCTCTTCTTCAGACTGCAGTGAACAGAAAAGGAAAAAACATACTCTTTTCATTTTGCTTGAGACAAATTGATATCGTCATAGTGTCATTTTATAGCTTTGAATATTGAAATAACTATATTTGGAAACTCATATCTAACTGTACTTCATGAAAACACTAAACAAAATAAAATCTAAAGACAGGGGTAAATATAGAATTTATAAAAGAGATAATTTTTATTGCTTCATAACCATTTGATACAAAACAAATTGTGAGGCAGCGTGGTGGACTCAGGCTCTCGTCAAAATAATCAAATTGAAAAAAACTTGCATTTTTCCGCAGGTTTGTGAATTTTTATCAAGTTTTTGTTTTTTGGCCCAACACCTTTCAAGCCCATTAAAGAACTCATTTCTGTGTGGATTTTTCTGAAAAACGTTGATTAAAAGCACACAAAATGGAAATTTTCAGTTACCACGGACTCTTAAGCTAAGGAAATAACCAATCTTTGGCGGCCATTTTCTCACTAATTTTTCCTCTGAAAACAGGTGACCCCCACCTCCTTCATTCGCAAATATCTCCACTTGTATTCAAGATAAATGGACATTTTTTTCATCCAAAAAAACACAAGTGAACAAGCTTTAAGATGATACCAATAGCTCTACAAACCCAAAAATTGACGAGAGTCTGATTCCACCACGCTGCATCAAAATTAATGATGGACACAAAAATATTGCATGTTTTGTGTCCAGTGGAAACAACACCTAGCTGAAAAGGGAAATTTTGGCCCTCAAGTTTTACCGGCAAGTATTGGAACTCAGCAGCAATAGAGCCACAATACACCGTCTCTAGGTGGTCAATCAAATCCGAGACTGCTATTTCTTCGGCCAATCCACTGACAATTCCTGCAGACTGAATCACTGCTGCACTTTCTCCCGTGACACCAAACTGGTCTGGGCTTAACTCAGACAGGACTCTGTAAAATGAAAAAACAAGGCCTCATCTCTAAAAAAACATGAAATTTGCAGAGAATGAGCGACCATTTCCTGCATTGGAAAATGAGTATTGAGGGAAAATTTCACACAATTTTAGCAATAAAACAAGAGGTTGAAGTAAAAAGAACAATATATTGCGACAGTATCCTGGCACATGAAATGTGGTAGAAATTGGACAACACATATATTTGAAAATGCCTTTCAATGATAAAGGTTCCATCACATATAATACTGGCAATTTTCCTCAAAAAGTTTTATTCTAAAAAAAAATTTTAAACATTGAATAAAAAAAGGAACATTGAAACCAATATCATGACCAGTCAAGAACCCATGAGCTGAAAAAATCTATATTTTTTTCCTTGGGAATTAGCTGTCATTGAATATTGAAAGCCCTGCTTGTTCGTAAACATTAAAGGAAGAGGATAGCTATACTTAATGACGGCTAAACGGCTAGGCTAACCATACTTAGTAATGATGGTAAGACTGACAAATAGCAAAAAATAGGCCTACTGAATGGTAAATAAATTTTAAGTGAGCAATACCTAAAGTATTTTTATTTGAGACAAAACCAAAAGGTGTCTTACTGACAGTGCATGTATTCTAAACCTGAATAATTACTAACGAGGTCTGTACATGTACTCAATAGGTGTTGGTCAATAGGGCCTAACCTACGAAGTTTGGCTGGACTGGTAGGCTAGCCATACTTAATAATGATGGCTGAATTGTAAATAAAATTTTAGTTTGCAATACCCAAAGGATTTGTTTGTATTTCAGACGAAACCAAAAGGTGCCTTACTGACATGCATGCATGTAGTTTAAACCTGAATAGAATTACTAGATCTAATGAGACCTGTGTACTCAACAGGTTTCGGTAAATCATGGGGCCTAGCCTAAGTACAGCTCTAGAACATAAATAAGAACCTCTGTTCTTTTTCTTTTCAACATGCTTCCTGCCTGTCCACATAACATACCTTTTCTCTTGCAAGCTCAGTGGATCAAGGGTAGCTTTTCTGTGTCCATAACTGCGATAAGCATCAACCAGGCGCACAATGTTGGCATGTTTGATTCGATTGCTCAATTCCTCGGAAGAATCTAAAAATTAAAGAAACAAAACAAAAGAGTGGAAGGTTCCCTTTTGGAGACGAATGAAATCAAATTTCAGTTAAGAACAATGAGTTATATCATGAGAAATTTTATCCTAAAGCATCAATGAAAAAAAAATTCACATTCCTTAAAATTAAAATTATATATAGAATCTATGCGTCACGACGCAGTGGAATCAGGCGCTCGTCAATTTTGGTGCATGCGGTTATTGGTATCATCTTAAAGCTTGTTCTATTTATCTTGCTTTTGCTGAGAAAAAATACCCACCTATCTTGAGCAGAAGTGAAGATATTTGTGATTGAAAGGTCTTGGTAAGTTCACTCGATTTCAGTGGTAGAAATAGCGAGAAATGGCCCCCAACGTTTGGTAACTTTAATAGCTAAAGAGTCCTTGAAAACTGAAAAATTACATATTTGGAGCTTTTAATCAACGTTTTTCAATATAATTCACAAGGAAATGTGTTTTTATTTGGACATAAAAGGGTTAAACAAAAAACTTAAAATTAGATAAAATGGTTGAAAAATGCCCGTTTCTCCAATTTCCTTATTTTGTCGAGTGCCTCGTATTTCACCACGAAGCCTCCTAATATATAGATATATATCTATATATAGCTTATACGTGCTTCCCAAAATCTCAGCTCTCAACAATTCATAACTAAAAAAATATAAACAGAGATGTCTATCAAATTTAAATCGTAGCATACACAAAAATAGAAAAACACGCCAAAAAATGTGGGGATGGTAGTTATTGCGAGAGTTACAACAAAAAACAACTAAGGGATCTATCAGTAGGCTTAAAATGTGAAGAATTATTATAGCCTACTCTTCCAACCAATATGTAGGCCTATGCTATGCCTAAACTATCAGATGAATGCCACAAGTACAAGATAGGAGAAGTAAAACACATATTCCTATTCATGATTAGTTTGACAAGTCATTTCACATAGGCCTACTGTTTACAAGTTACTGTTGTATTGTAGGCATCTCGAGACTCCAGGGCTAGGACTGGGGCTGAGGAGGAGAGGAAGCCTAGGCTACAACATAATATTATGACATAATTATGTCACATTACGTTTACGACTTACATAGAGACTCTGATGTCGGATTAGACAATCTATTCTGCTGTACAGCAGAATTATAACCAAAGACGCCTTGCTTCGAATGGTAGTTCAGGCAAGAGACGTGACCGTACAGCAGTGTTTTCTGCAGCAATTTGCTTGCTTTGTGTGCTAAACTCAAGGCCATTCTTATTATAATTCTAGCAGCATATCAACAATATCAGACCAACTCAAACGATAAATTTTATGCTCGACTTGTCTTATTCCTTCAAAAGCAAACTTCAAAGAACCAGTTTGAGCGCAATATAAATGCACAATCATATACAATGAGCTCTTCTATTCCTTTTTTTAAAGCCAAACAAATTATATAAACTAAAGAAAACAACTAAAATAGATTCTAGGTTGCGGCAATGATGTTGCGGTTGACGAAAATCCAATGCCACAAATACTCCAAGATATACAAGGGAGAGCACTCTGTCGTCAAATCACAGATACATGCAACGCGGTTGCCAGTGATTTTTCTGACTTGAACTTGAATAGACAGAGCCGCTATTAATATTATTAGCCAATATGGTCGATTTAGGCCTATAATTATTTAAGTACCTTTTTCTTGTTTCTTTATGGGGAAGGGAAATCCGTCAGGGTAAAACTACAGGGTATTACTTTTTTTTTCAAGAAGCCTTACATTGTTGTTTGTATCTAATAGAATTAATTGATCTAGTTTCAACTAAGGGGGTTCTTAGGAGAAAGTATACAAGCCCCAAAAGACAAAAGGAAAGAAACATTTATAGTGTAATAGGATAGAACTTCTGATATTATAGAAAATGCTCAATTACGTTTTAAAAGAACTTTACAGATAGGTCAATTTGCAACAAACACACAAAAACAAACCAAAACACCAATTGAAACAACCATTTGGCAACTGCTCCGCAGCCCTGTTTGAACTATTTACCTTCACATCTGACCTCTGTAGACACAGCCTCCGTTTTAAACCAATGAAATCTCTTCATTCCAGTCACGCCTCCAAAATTATTTCCGTGCTGTGCTGGCACTTTTTACTTAATTATGAATCGTTGGCCTCAGGCTCAGGTTGTGACGACACAATTATATAATGTGGGGATGCATGCAAGTCGTGCTTTCTTGAAATATTCGTGGATTATGCCCCTTTAAACCACTTCTTCCCACCGCCGCCAAGACCTGTCTTCTGATTATTTTTTTTTTAACTGCAATTTGATTCTAATGGGTATTAGATCTAGATCTTGTAGGCACACGATACATTTTTTTCATAGTCTATAGCACATGATTGTTCCCTACTTGCCTCATTCCCTTAATGTGCTCTCTCTCT